CCCAGGCGGGTCTCGAACCCGCGGGCTCAGGCAATCCACTCACCTTAGCCTCCCAAAGTGCGGGATTACAGGCTGAGTCACCGAGCCTGGTCACTATTTTATTTAAAAAAAAAAATTGGTCTTCCTTTCCCGCTTCTCTTCCTTTTCCCTTCCTTCCTCTCTCCTTTCTTTTCTATCTTCCCTCTTCCCATTCCCTTCTTTTCATTCTCTTTTCCCTTCTCTCTCCTCTTCTCTCTCCTTCCCTTCTTTTCTTCCCCCTCCCCTTCTTTTCCCTTTCTTTTCTCTTTTCTGTCTCTCCATCCCTCCTTTCCTGTCATCCTTCTCGCCTTTCCTTCCTCTCGCCCACCCTTCCCAACTCCCTGCCTTTCTTCCTTCAGCATCAAATAAGGGGAAGAAAATCTATGCATCATGATGTATTTCTACATATATAACTCAAGATGGCTTTCCCTCTCAAGTAGGTTTTAAAGAAACAGTCAAATAAAGCCTGAATCCATTAATCAACAAGAACATTTTGGCTCTGGAAAATCCTTCTTTGCAAAGAATCAATAAGCATTTTATAAAAACTGGAGCTCAATATAAAATTTAAAGAACAGAGTTGACTTGGTCACCATCACTGTAGCCCATACCCTAGCCAATTCATCTTTTAAAAAAAGTCTGCCCATTAGGAGAGGAAGCTACAGTCTAATTGTGAAGAATACAGCAGTGAAGCCAACCCAACTGGGTTTGAATCCCACCTCCGCACCTTTAGTAAGATATCCATTTGTAAAACAGGTTGTTGACAGTATCTACCTCATTGGTTTTTGTGAGGATTAAGTGAATATAAAGTATTTAGGACAGTGCCTGGTACATCCTAAACATTTAATACATGTCGGCTATTAAAAAATCCATAAAGTTATTTTCCCAGTGGATTCTGCAGGCTTATATAGCACATAACAACAACCAGTGTTCCATAATGAAAGGCACAGGGGAAGAGAAGCCAAGCATGGGTAACCTTCTGCCAGAAACTAGTAAAGCTCTTCCTTCAACCCTCCCTTCCTTGCCCCACCCAAAAGCTAGCAGTCTGTTTGCCCCTCTCCCCTGCCTTGTCCTAGCCCAAGAGTCCAGAGACAGCATTCCCCCAAGGGAGTTGAATCTTGGAGAATTATGACATAAACTCGAAGGTGAGAGGCCTTTCGAACACTAGTTTTTCTCTACCTGGATTTCTCACAAGTGAAATGAGGACAAGTCCGAACTGCGCCTCAGAACTGAGATATGGATTAATTAGTTAATAGTTTCCAAAAACCTTTGAAGAAGTGCTAAGTACAATTTTAATGACTCTGTGATTATGATGACAGAAAACATGCCAAGAGCCTACCCCGTCCCCTTCAATATCTAAAACATCATTAATTATACAGCTCTGGTTAGCTTTTGAGTCAGCTTTGGCATCAATCAACTCTCATTTCCTAGGACTCTTTTCAGTAGGTAATTTCCTTTTTACAGTGGCTATTTCTGAAAACCAACAACATAAATTGAGGAAAGGCTGACCTAATGTCATAGTTTATGGTTTGGCAACTTTCTATGGCTCAAGGAAAAAAAAAATCACCATTTTATATAAGGTCTTATATAAGGAATGAGAAACAAAATAGAAATCTTTGCTATAAAATTAATAATGAAATCTATGAAATGTTTATGACTAAAGTTCCAAAATTCCAGAAGGATAATACACACAAAATTATAATAGTAGCAATAGTGATATTAATCATAAAATAGGAAAAGAATCTCAGTAAGGAGCCGGGCTCGGTGGCTCAGCCTGTAATCCCGTGCCTTTGGGAGGCTGAGGTGAGTGGATTGCCTGAGCCCGTGGGTTCGAGACCTGCCTGGGCAGCGA